GAAGTATTAGTATCTAATTGCGAAGTCCATCCATTAAATTTAAACGATACTTACTCCCTACCTCTTTGGCTTCTTTTTAATTATACCAATCGGATACAAATTAGAACTTACCAATTCTACGACATACAGAAGTATATGGATACACTCTGTCCCCTGGTCTTTCAAAGCACGAGCTTCTGCCAACGTGCGACGCGTTAGTCGATGCTGTAATTTCTTAGAAAGTCTGGCGCCGCGTTTGATCGTTCGTTTGGTCTTGCTCACCGGTTCGGAAGAAGAAACGTCTGCAAGATCATTTTCATTGACAAACCAATATTGATCATCGTTCAACGCAAACAGGCTCAAACGACTGTTTCTTCGCTGAATATAGTGATAGTCGTTATTGCTAAACCTAACCTAAATAAAAAATACCTGCAGGTTTAGGTTAGGTTTAGGAAGAGATGGAGATAGAGCATCAGACTCTTAATCTGAGGGTCCAGGGTTCGAACCCCTATTCGGGTGGGAAAAAAGATATTGTCCTTCAGGACAACAGCACGAGGAGAGCTCTGTGTGTATAAAAAGGTCTCCAGAACTCTCCCAACGTGCGGAGGACGGCCATCTTGGAGGTTTTAGTCGGTAAAAATCCCGACACTACCTGGGTCTTCCCTTAAAAGACTCAGGTGTCTTATCGAAGATTTCCTCCACGTAAAAAAAAGAAAAAAGAAAAAAAAAATAGGTTAGGTTTAGGAATAACGACTCTCACTGCCTGGATATTTCATTTATGTAAATTAGTACTAAACAGTAAGAAGGGGAACTAATTCAATAAACTAGATCGAGTTTAAAAATTTCGAAGTTTAATTTCGCGTGCTTCAATTGATATCTTATCGTTCGAGACGAATGATTTACCATCTACGCCGTCGGTAACGTCAGCAGGCAAGTAACGATCAACATATTTGTCAGCAACAGTCAGAGCACCGTCTAATCTGTCTGCCGCCGCGTTCGCAGCTTGATTTCCTATCTCTTTCACACTTTCGGCACGTGTCAAAACAGGCCTGACGATTTTCACGTTTACATACTCTCGTGCGTTCCGGTACATCTTAACAATACAAGAAACATGATGATGACTTTTATTCCTAAAAACGATCAGGTGTTTACGTAAATAATACTTCACTTCGATCGAACTTACAAGATGAGGAGGAAGATGCACGGCCGGTACTCTCTGCTCAACGATATCGATACCTTTGCAAAGCAACTGATCGATCGTCGCGATAGGACCGTTCAATACCGAAATCGCATTCGTAATCGGTTTCGCTGACGCTGTGGCGATCGCCAGCGAGTTCTCAGCAGTGCACAAACTCCAATCCACCAGTGAATGCGATCGCTGAAATTAGCAACATTTATTATATTTATTTGCTCTTTCTTTCTTTTTTTTTTTT